TCCAAGAGGTAAAGGTGAGGAGGATGAGCATTCCAGGCATGGGGATAAGGTACAGAAGCAGGAAATGTAATGTAATGTCCAGCAAATAAGCCAGTTGGGGATGAAATCTAAGAGTGCATAAAAAGTAATGGGAAATATGCCTGAAAAAAAAAATAGGCTGGAGCCAGAGTACAGAGGTTTAAGTTGCCGGACAGAGGAGTTTGTATTTTAGCCTATTCTAGAATACACTATGATCCTCATACACAAAAACTACAGGAATACCACGATTAAATAAAATGTTTCCTCTGAGTTTATTACTTAAAAAAAAAAAAAAAGCTAAAACAAAGACTCTTCAACCAGTCATGGCTCCAGTCCCTCCCTTTTCCCACATTCCCTAATCTTTCTCCAGGACCTAGTCACAAAACTTATCTGTTTTCACAGAAAACCTACACTGGGGTAAAGGTAAGGAAAAGGGTAGAAGGCAGTAGTATCATCTAAGCTCCACCCAGCGAGAAAGGGGAATTTCATTGCCCAGAGATCTATACTGGGTGGAGATTCACAGAATCCAACTGACAGGAGGTAGGGAAAGGGGAGAGAAGGAAGCAAAATTTGGGAGTAAGCTAAGGGGCCACTCACTATTTCACACTCAGAATGACTTGGGGAGGGAGGAAATCAGGTGATCCACAGGGCATGTTGCTAAAGGGCATTTCTCAGTTCTCCTAGTACTGAAGGTGAGGAAGGGGTTGAAGGGCACCACTAAGAGACAAAAATGGAATCAAGATGATGTCCTTTTTCAAAACTATCCAGGGCTCACAAGAACCACAGGTCTCACAAGAACCACAAGTAATACTTGAAGGGGGCAAATTGTGGGTGAACAGCACCAATTAGGTTTCCATTACAACTTATCAGGGGAAAGTCACTTACTGGGAAAGAATAAAGGGATACAGCATTGAAATTACAACACCCCTCACCCCCAACAGAGAAAAAGGTAGATGATGCAGACCAATGATTGAAAAACCTCCCAGACCACTATTGATGTGGAATGCTGCATACACTGTGAGATGTGGTCCATTTGATAGTTTGTGTAAGTGATTTTCTTTGTTACATGACAGGGTTGGGGGAGGGTGTTACTGGGAAGTGACAGCGGTGTAAAAACCAAAAGTATCAATAAAACATTATTTTTTTAAAAACCTCCTCTGACACTCCTGCCCCCCACCCATCCTCCCAGAGCCCCAGATAGGGGAGGGAGAGGGTCAGGCTCAGGCTCCTTCCTTGGCCAAAGGTGTTGGGCAGAAACACCTCAGAGAAGCCAACAAAGAACAACAGGGCAATGGGCTTCCAGGATAGAAAAGGTCCACTGGAGCCTGACTGGTGGAAGGCACAGTTTTACAAGGGAGGTCCATTCACCCCTGGGTGGTAGAAGGCACAAAGATCCTCATAGCGACAGTGGCCCTTTGAGAAGTGTCTGCAGACAGGGCGGTTGGATTTATCTGTGGAATCAAGTGGGAGAAAGGCAGCATAAGACTTTGGGAAGACAAAAACCAGAGGAACACCTCTGGGATGCTAAAAGGAAACATTTTAAGCATTGCTATAGTCTTCAGCCTTCCTAGGATAATGTTTTGAGAGAGGAGAATTGAAAGGTACCTTCCAAGTGAAGGTAGAAGGGCTTCTGGGATTTGTAGTCACTGTCTTCTGGACATAGTTATGTGCTACTAACAGGAATAAAATATACAGGGTGATGGTACTAACCTGTTCTATCACCTTCCTGGACGCCATCCTTGAATTGAGGGGCATTCTTAGGCCAGGGGATGTTCTTAGATGGATGGTGACTACTGCCCCCGCCAAGGTTTCTCCATCCATTGGGAGGACCATTCCTGGCATGGTCCCCATAGCCTGTTCCCCACCTAGGTTCTGGATCCTCATAGGCCCATCGGCTATGTAGGTATGGTCGAGGCCTGGGGCCTGGGCCCCCTCTCATTGGGCAACCTCCCCAGAAAGGAAGTGGAAGGCTCAGGAGTGGTGGAATCACTGGTCCCCTTAAGCCCTGAGGGCCTCTGTGGAAGCCTAAAGAGAGACAAAGATAGCTCCTGGTCAACTAAATCCAGGAAAACCCAGAAATTATTTTTCTTCTTGTGTCTCATTCCCCACTTCTCCCAATCCCCAAAACTTGTTCTCTCCTACAGGAAATTCCAGAATGTCTTGCATGTAACATGCACTTAATGTGTGTTAATCAGAATCAATCTAGACACACCTGTCCTTTCAGACCCTTTCCACTCACCTGGCTCAGGGCCACCAAACTTCCCATTGGCTATGGGAGGAGGGCCCAGGAGGCTGGGTGGACCTAAAAGAACCGGAAGAAATAAGATAAACAAAATGTAGCATGGTCCAACTTGGTAAAGTACAGTTTATATAACAACTCAGTATTATTTCTATTGAGTTCTCCTTTCTTTTTGCTACTAGACCTAGAGCACATGGTTATACAAACAGTGGTGATTCAAACCTTGGAGAGTACCAGAATTGACTCTTATTTTCCCTTTACTACTAGCATGCACTTAAGGGCCTACTACTATCTATGGGCAAGGAATTGTCTAAATGACAAAGACTAAATGAAAAGGTCTCTGCCCTTCAGATGTTTACTTTCTATGGATATATACAGAATCAAATTGATGGGCTGAAGCAAAATGCTTCAGTAGAATCCAAAAAAGCAGAGTCTGTTACCAAGATGTCAGAAAAGAAACAAGAAAAACAAACCAAAGGTACCAGATGGCCTTCAATCAAAGGAATAGCTAACTCAACTCTAAGACTGATAATGAAGCAAAAAGAGACTTCAATGTGTTTTCCTTTGCATGAGTCTCCTCTTGCTATCAATCAACCAAAATTTATGAGATGCTTTTCATGTGTCAGGCACTAGGAATACAAAACACTTAGGGAATAGTAACTAGGGAAGGAAGTTTTTTGGTCTAGGCAGTCAGTAAGACTGTCAAGCCCTTTTCAGAAGCCTTGGTAACATTGACTGAATTACCAGAAATAAGATGTGAAGGGGAGAGGGAGACTGACAAAATGACAGATGTCAAACCTATGACAAGATTTCTCCTCTCAGGGCCTCCTGGATGGATTAATGTGGTGTGGGCCAGCAAAGTTGAAAACTTGACACCCTCCAAACTAAACAGATCTACCCAAGTCCCAAACTGAATGGACTACCTCTTCCTTACGAATCTCTGGCATTCCTGAGAATTCCTAGCAATCTTCTCCTACCTCCCATCTAATTTGATGGACTTCTCTCTTCACTTACCCCCCCTCCCTCATTTCACTTGGGAGAGGTCTAGAAACATTTGCATTGATGCAAAGAGCGGGAGATCACTCAGCCCACTCCCTACACAGTACAATACAGATGAGACTAATGAGACCTTTCTGCTCAAGTTTGCAGGTAGAGTCAACAGCACCAATTAGAACCCCTGACTCCTCATACAATGCTCAGTACTCGACATTCTCATTCCCCTCATCTTGAACTATGAAATTTTTTTTTATTCTTGATCTGTCTCACTCTTGGGGCTGACAACGATAACCAGGACAACGGGGGAAGGGGAACAAAAACTGGCTTCTACAAATTCTCCCATTACGGGGGAGGGGGAATAAGGGAGAGGCTGCACCTGCCTTGGCAAATTACTTTTATTTGTCTACGTCAGAGGCTCTCCGCAGCATCTTTCGGCCTGCATTCCCATTCACCCTTTTCCGGGCCTGATTCTACGGACGCACCACTCCCCTATTCCCCCAAGGCACGTGCATCGGCCTCCCCCGCCCTTCCTCCCTTTCGCGGGCGCGCCACAGAACCCGGGATGGGCGCATGTGCGCTCTTACACTTATAGCTCTCCTACCCTGCAGTCCTTAAAAAGGGAAAGCGAATTTTGCTTTCGCCAAGCCTCGCCTCGCGCTATTCTACATGAAGACGCAACGGGCTCCTTCCCTTTCGGGCCGCACTAATCTCGCCCAGTTCTCGCCTTGTCCCTCCACGCCCGGGCGAGCTTTATTTGTCTCGTGCCCCTGTTTCAGGCCTGCCTCAGGCGCATGCACCTCTCCCTTACCAGCGGGGCTCCCACTCTCCTCATCCCCACTCTCCTCGGGGTCCGGTGGCCGCTGCTTCCCCCTCTTGGGCATCACAGCCAGCGTAATAGCAGCGAACAGAGTCCGGGCCGGTGGGAGCAGGGGGCGGTATATGGAGGGAGAGAGAATCCGGTTATTTCCGCTTCCGGCAGACCCATCCAGAAGCGGCGAGTGCGCAGGCGCGTGCCTTTCCCTCCAAGTAGCGTTCCAATATAAAAGCACACCCTTCCCTCCTTCCCCCTCCCATACACACACCTCCCATCTAAAGGGAAAAAAAAAAAAACATTTGGAGGCATATCATAGAGTCGAGAGGACCGCGGCGTTGGAAAAGGGGGGGGCGTGGAGAAAGGAGGAGCTGTCAAGCAGCGTGGTTACCTCGGTAACCGCCGACGGCCCACGCCACCGCTTCCAACTTCATGACCTTTGACCTCCAAAGGATCCTTAGACGATCTAAGCCTCTGTGCCCCTTAATTACAACCTTTTAAACCCCGCGATTATTGGCCTACTCCCACCTAAGTTTTTTTTTTTTAAACTTCCACTAGGTGCAGCGTCTCGTGGCTCCTCTGCCATGACCTCTGACCTTCTCGGAAAGGATCTCCAGGGCAACCTAGTACCTCATCGTCCTCTTCTCCCTCCCCCCCCTTTCTTTTCAGGTATGATCAACCTCCTTCCTCATCTAGATCACTTTAGGTTAGCCTTATGCTCTTTCCCACCTCACAAGTGGTAGAGTCCACTCACCCCACCAGGTGAGTGAGTAGATTCTCTCCAGGAACGAAAGTTAAGGATGGTTACCTCGTCCCCTTTCTCCGAATGGGAATTGGTATCGCCCGTGACGAAGTCAGTACGCTCGGTCGGCGCACCGGCGCGGCTCCCTCTGCCACACCCCCAAGAACCGCCCCCGTCCCTCCCCGGGACTCTTGAGGGACTGGCGTGTGGCAGGCACGTCGCGTGTCTCTCTGCCCTTGCACTTCTCTTAGCCTCACACGCACTCCTGTACTTTACTTGGAGGGAAGTGACTGAACCCGTTCCCCTCCAAAAGACACCTGCGGCCCGTCCTGCCTTCTCCTACTCACAACGCACTGCCCCCTCCTCCCCCAGGAGGCGAGACTTGGTCTGACCCTCCGCGTGACGTCACCTCGGAGCCCCGCCCCCAAGGGTCCCTGGCCCTAGGCGGCTGGGGCAGCCCGGGGGGGGTGTCGGTAGAAGCGAAGCGGCAGCGGCTGGACCCCGGAGAGGGCTGGAGACCAACGGGAACCAGACCGGGCCATGCCGAGGAAGAAGCCCTTCAGCGTGAAGCAAAAGAAGAAACAGCTGCAGGACAAGCGGGAGAGGAAACGAGGTGAGGGAGGGAGAGGAGGGGGGCGGGGCCTGAGTCTCTCCTACATCTGGAGAGAGGGATGAACTTTACATCTGGAGCCAGGGTGGAGGGTGGCGGGTGGCGGGTGGCGGGCAGAGCCAGCCGTTTCCCATCGAAAGGAGAAAGGAGTAGAGAGAGCCTCCGACCTCCCCCACATCTGGAGAAGAGGAGGATCCCTTTAGTTGGAAGAAGAGGAGCCCCCACATCTGACGAAATGGATGCTGGAGAGGGGAAAGAATTGCCTCCTACCTCCTGGTCCTGGGAGGCTTCTGTTCTGGGGTGTAGAGGAGAAGGAAGGAGAAACTAGGTCGAGAGGCAGAATGCTCGGGTCGATATGGGGAGCAGAAGTTGGTTAAAAGGGGAGAGCTGGACGAATCAGATGCCTGCGCCTGTGTTTGAGAGCTGGGCGTCAGGTGATGCCATGTGCCTGCCTGCAGGGCTGCAGGATGGGTTTCGCTCCAGCTCCAACAGCCGCAGTGGGAGCCGGGAGCGGAGGGAGGAACAGACTGACACCTCTGACGGAGAATCTGTGACCCAGCAGATCCGTCGCCTCAACCAGCAGCCAACCCACGGCTCTGGCCATCGCTATGACCCCAATAGGTAAGGGTGGGGAACTTGGCACTTGGGATTTTCCCTCATTGCCCCGAAAGTAATCGAGGGTAGTGCGTAGGTGGAGGGCTAGGTAGAAGGCTTAAAATATGCTGAGATAAAAACTCTGTAGGAAGGACTTTGGATTCCTTAGTTATCCTTAGGGCAATTGGTTCTTTTGGGAGAGAGTGGAGAAAGTTTTTATTTGTAGAAAAGGGGGCTTTGGAGGCAAGCAGAAGATTAAGCTACCTGGATCCCTATAAAGAAAACACCCTTACAATTTTGAAGGGGAATCTGGAAAATTGTGATTTATGGACACTAAATGCTAAGTTGAATATTTGTGTTAACATCTCCCCAGATACCGACTACACTTTGAACGAGAGAGCCGGGAAGAGGTGGAGCGGAGAAAGAGGGCTGCTCGAGAACAAGTGCTGAAACCAGTCAGTGAGAAATCTCTGGAGCTTGACATTGGAGACATCTACCATCCAGGCTCCAGTAAGGATTGAGATGCAGGAAACTTGGTTCTCAGGGGAGTAGAAGGTGGGAGAAGGGAGAGAGCTGGCAGAAAGTGGTACCAAATATCTTGGGTCCTGAGAGCGCCTACATTTCCCTTCACTTTGCTTTCTCAGATCTAGACTTTCCCCGTCGCCCCCCTTGGAACTATGAGATGTCTAGGGAGCAATTGATGAGCCAGGAGGAACGGAGCTTCCAAGAATATCTGGGGAAGATCCATGGGTCCTACACCTCTGAGCAACTCAGCTACTTTGAGCACAATCTGGAGGTAAGATAAGATCAGGGTATTATATGATCCATCTGGAGAGTTGGATTGTCTCTGAAGAAAGGGGGAGGTGACACATGGAGTTGCTGGTGCATAGTTGCAAGTTGTCACTGATCTGTGACTAGCAGCGCAAGGTTCAGATTTTCCTCCCTTATTTTTTTTTAGACTTGGCGACAGTTGTGGCGGGTGCTAGAGATGTCTGATATCGTCCTCCTCATCACAGACATACGACATCCGGTAAGTAAGAGGAACCATGCAAATGGGACAATGGGTTGGTGAAAATTAAAAGGCAAGAGTGGAGGGGGGAGAAAGGGGGATTTTTGTCCTCCATAAGACAGGACTTTAGTCTTTTTCTACTTAATGGCTACTTTCTCAGCCAGTCCAACTACTTTTTGTAGCTTTGGAGGGTGGAACAAATTCAGGTGCTTCTCTAGGAACTAGCTAAGTAACTCTTGGGTACCTTCTGTTCACATCCCTCCCTTCCTTCTCAACACTTTCTCCTCTATTCTGACTTTTCAGACTGCTGTGAATTAAACAACAGCACTTCTCCGGTTGTAACTCCTTTCTAGTTTAAGAGCAAGAGCTTATTTGTAGTTTTCTCTTTTGATAAGAAATAAAAAAAACTGTTCTATCCTCCATCCTGCCTCTGCTGTTTATCCAGTTTACCTGGCGTTCCTGTTTCACTTTTCCTATTATCAGATGTCTCTCTCTTATTCCTTGATGCTGACAAACTAGCCTTACGTCCCCTAGAACGTCATGTATTAGCTTCTGTCAAGTGTTCTTTTGCCTTGATTTCGTTGGATTCCTTTTACTTATTTGGCTCTCTGCTATCCTACAACTGTAGAAGTTGATGCCTATAAAATTATTCCTAGTAGATGAGGGAGAGAGGAATTGCAGGTTTCCAGGTAACTTACTCTCATTCTTACTTCTTCATACCCTCTCTCCCCCCCACCCCCCACAGGTCATCAACTTTCCCCCAGCTTTATATGAGTATGTGACGGGAGAACTAGGGCTGTCACTGATACTGGTGTTGAACAAGGTAGACCTGGCTCCCCCAGCTCTCGTCGTAGCTTGGAAGTATCACTTTCGCCTGCACTACCCCCGGCTCCACCTTGTTCTTTTCACGTCTTTCCCTCGGGACCCCCAAACCCCACAGGACCCAAAGACTGGTAAGTGGAATTTGGATAACATAGGGATAAGTGGAAGAACATGCAGTGCCCTGTGGGGGTATAACCCTATAACAGGGTTATAGGGGCTTTATGGAATGGAGGTCAAAGATGACAGGGGTGGAGCAGGAGAAAGGGCCAGGATCTGGCCCTCGTTGTCTCTTCACCTATCCCCTTCTATTTTCAGTATTGAAGAAGCGCCGGAAGCGAGGAAGGGTCTGGACTCGTGCCCTGGGACCAGAACAGTTGCTAAGGGCTTGTGAGACCATTACTGCAGGAAAAGGTCTGAGTGTATATGCGAGGGAAGCCCTGAAGATGGCTGGGGAGGATCTGAGTTTTTTCCCTTGCCTCTTGCCAGAAGTCAGCCTTGTCAGTTATGACAGTTTTAGGAGAATCAAGGGAACTAGCAAAACTGTCCAAATATCTTCCACTGTCCAGGGGTATGTGTAGGCAGATGGGGCCCTTGGGAGTTTTTTTTCCTCAAGCAAAATCTTCTTGGTTTGTTTTTCTTTTTGGAGGACTGGATCTGTGATTTCATTACTATAGGGAACTCCCTATGAAGGGCCACCCTCTAACAATGCAGATCTGCAACTGCTTTATAAGGTTGAGAGAGTTGCCTGGGACAATGTGAGGTTCAGTGATTTGCTCTGAGTCACAGACACAAGACCTGAACCTAGGGCTTCCTGGCTTTAAGGTCACCTCTTTGTCCACCATACCATGCTACCTTTCTTCTTATACTCCTAAAAAGCTTAAGCAAGGAAACAGTTTTTTTCTAGAAATCACTGGAAAACTCCCAATCTGTCTCTCCCTATATCAGTGGACTTAAGCAGCTGGAAAGAAAAGATGGACCGGGATGCATCTGGAGCAAGCCGGGAGACTGGCTCAGGGGAGGAAGAGGAAGATGAAGAAGGACCAGCGGTGTTGGTGGAGCAGCAAACAGATGTAGCTCTGGAACCAACCGGCCCAGCCCAGGAACGATATAAGGATGGAGTTGTGACTATTGGCTGTGTGGGTGAGGAAGCAGGAACAGTGTCCCTCCTTAGCGTCAGGAGGTGCCATTCTGAGTATTTGGGGACTGTGTAGCAGAGTGTGGAGGCTAGTAAGCCTTAACAATCTCTTCTTCTCAATTTCAGTTTGCTGGGCCAGGGCTGGGTGTGAACCCAGACTATTAGTAGAATCTGTTACCTAATAGAAGCTCTTCTCAACCAAGAGACTCCTTTGAGAAAGAGGCTTAAAGCTTGGGAGGGTGGATAGAATAGATATTGCTGTGGTGACCAGATGATGAAAACCTATCTACCTAAAAAAAAAAAAGTTATCTAAAAGTTGTCTGTTTTATTGAAACAATGTTTGAATATGGGACGAAGCAATGGAATAATGAAAAGGTCACTGGACTACCTTTTTTTATTCCTGGCTCTGCCATTGATTAGTTGTGGGACTTTAGGCAAGTCACTTCCCCTCGTTCTTCATCTGTAAAATGAGTAGTGTTAGACTACATGAACTACCTCTAAGGTACTATCTGGGATTTTCTGAAGTTGTGAGAAGGCAAGTTATTGTGATTGGTGGTATGATGGAGACCAAGGGATTTTTCAGACTAGAAAGGGCAAAGAGTATACCATAATTATTTGGAGAAAGAGGAGCAGACAGTTCTATTATTCTGAATATTTTAGTGGATGGTGTTGGAACTGGTAGGGATGAAGTATCTCCTATGTGGTTTGCCTGTCCTTGGCACAGTTTTTTTTTTTTTGATAGGCAATTGGGGTTAAGTGACTTGCCCAAGGTCACACAGCTAGTAAGTATCTAGTGTTTGATCTGAGGCCGGATTTGAACTCAGGTCCTCCTGACTTCAAGGCCGGTGCTCTATCCAGTGCACCACCTAGCTGCCCCTGTTGGCACAATTTTTTCCTGACCTCTGTTGAGTTATGACTTGATCATTCCCTCTCTCTGACTAAACTTGTAACTCTCACAGGTTGTCTCTCACCTTTCTCCACCTTCCTCATTGTCTGCTACCCCTCTCATTGCTCCTATTCTTCCCACAGGTTTTCCTAATGTGGGAAAGTCATCCCTGATCAATGGGCTGGTTGGACGGAAGGTGGTGAGCGTTTCCAGAACCCCTGGCCACACCCGTTACTTTCAGACATATTTCCTCACACCCACTGTTCGGCTCTGTGACTGCCCTGGCCTTATCTTTCCTTCCCTGCTGCCCCGACAATTGCAGGTGTGGGGACTGGAAGGTAGGGGTGGAGGGAGGGAGGTATGCTAGACTTCTGGGGCACTATGGAGGTTAAGGGCTAAAGGAGAAAGAGTATGAACTGTGAACTAAAGGGCCTAGGTCCCTAGTTCCCTGAAAAGAGTAAGAGGTGGGGCTTAGGGTCAATAAGATGTTGGGTCTCACTAATCCCTCTGGGTCTTTTCCTAGGTCTTGGCTGGGATCTATCCCATTGCTCAGATCCAGGAGCCCTACACATCTGTGGGCTACCTGGCCTCCCGAATACCTATCCAGGCACTTCTTCGGCTGAGACACCCTGAAGCTGAGGAGTCAGGACATGAGCCTCCTTGGTGTGCCTGGGATATCTGTGAAGGTGAGTTCTACAGGCTACCTATCCTTACAATGCCATCCCTGTTCCCCTGCATTATTTTCCCCACTCTATTAGTCACCGTTTCCTTCTTTCACCTCTCTTAAGGCAACATGGTGAAATAGATGGAGCATTGCACTTGGAGTTAGGAAAACCTGGGTTCACATCCCACCTCACTTAGTAGCTATATGACCCTAGACAAATCATTTAATCTCTTCAGACTCGGTTTCTTTGTCTAAAATGAAAGGATTGGACTTGACCTGTAAGCTCCCTTCCACCTGTAAATCTATAACCCTATGATCTTCTCACCATTTCATTAATACTGGCTTCATTCCTCGTCTCCTCTTTCCTGTCCTCCCCTTGCCAGTTTCTACCTCCCCTATCCTGTCTCTTCCTCCTCCAAGATTCCTCTTTTTGTCTCCATCACAACATCTTTGTGTCCCCCAGCTAACTACCTCTTTGGCTTTAAATATCTTAGAGAAAATTTAAATAAAAGAGTCCTAGGATTTAGAACAGTTTTCAGAGGTCATCTAGTTCAGCCTTTACCTGGAACATGAATTTGTCTCTACAGAAGCAGTTTCCTAGCATCTACTTGAATACTTCCAATGAAAAATCATGGTTTCACAAGCTAGTCAGTTCCATCAGTGAATAGCTCTGATTGTTAGAATGTTTTTATACTGAGCAAAAGTATTTGCCTCCCCCCCCCCAACCACCACCACCACACCCCCAGGAAATCCCACCTTTTGATTCAAGTGTTCTATCTTCTGGATTAGGATATACCTAATTCATCTTCCAAAGGCTATCTCTTCAGTTTTTTCAAGGATACCTCTCGTGGTTCCCGTAAATCCTTCCTTATTCAGGCTATGCATTCCCAATTCCTTCCACTGCTCCTGATACAGCATGGTTTAGAGTACCCCTCTTCATTCTAGCCACTTTCTTCTGGATGTGCTCCCATTTGTCTCTTTTGTTCAGGGCTTATCCTTTTGGGAAGGCCTGTGAGGCCACAGGGTAACTAACTGATTCATGCCCTCTTGTCTCTCCATCCCTCTGCCTTTCCTGTAGCCTGGGCTGAGAAGCGTGGTTACAAGACAGCCAAAGCAGCTAGGAACGATGTGTACCGAGCAGCCAACAGCCTCCTTCGGCTGGCTGCTGACGGACGGCTCAGCCTTTGTCTTCGTCCACCGGGCTACAGTGACCAGCGAGGTAAAAGGAGCAGGCTTGCAGTTCTTAGGGTCTGACCCTCCCCATTTGCCTCCCACCCAAATCCCAGCCTTCCTTCACCAGTGGCATCTAACCTGACAGTCTTTGCCTCTCTCCCGTATTGGACCTAGGCATCTGGCTTTCTGTGACTTTCTTCCCTCGGGGCTTACGTCTGCTATATTTCTTGCACCTCACTCTCTACCCCCTCTTTCACTTTCTTCCTGCCCTGTGTCCCCTTTCTTTCAGGCCTATCTCTATTCATAGCCTTTCTTCTTTTAAACAAACGTCCTTCCCCCAATTCTAACTCCTCATCATCCTCTTTTTGTCTCCTCCCCATTCCCTCTAGCCTCCTGGGAGTCCCATCCAGAAACCTTGGAGCTGGTGATGATGCAGGGGAGGGTGGGACTGTCGGGTGAGGATGAGGATGAGGAAGAAGAGCTGAGCAGTTCTGGGGAAGAGGAGGGAGAGGAGGACCGAGATGCCGATGAGGAGGGTGAGGGGGATGAAGACACCCCCACCCCTGCCCGGCCTTCAAACCTGGCAGGCCCAAACCCTTATGCCCTGCTGGGTGAGGATGAATGCTGAATCTCCATCTTTTATTCCTCCCATTCAACATCCTTGCTCTTGGACTGATTGGGGGTACCCCTGTTCCATCTCCCCAACTGTGAATAAAGATAACCTGGTTTGTTAGCCCCCTTCCCATCTGGACTAAAGCTGAGGTTGAATTGTTATCCTAGCAGTTGGAGGTCTCATCCTAACCTTCACCCAAAGACCCCTTCCTTCAGGGGCCCTGGTTAATAATAGTCCTTTGGAAATAGGGTCTAATATATTGAGTCCCTATTCCCATCTTTATTGCTCCTCTTTTCTCCTAATGTCTTGTTACTAAAGAGCAGATGGGGGACAGTTCCTGCCAGTAGGGTCTGGTCTAATCCCAGGCTCCTCAGTGTAGCACACAGAAACCCTTCTCTTACTACTCTAAAGTTGGCACCAGATCCAGATCTCTCCTACTAGGAGAAGGGACGGGATGTTCAGGAAAAGCCTTAATAGACCTATTATAGAATGTGTCCTAGGGAAACCATCCCCTAGTTCCTGTGTCAAGGTCAGAGGTAGAACAGTGTGTTACCTAGGTGGTAGACTCAAGTATGAGGCCAGATTCTTTCTAACAGAGAGGCCTCATCCTCAGGCACACACGTTTTAATATTGAAAAAGTTTGTTCTCCCACAGTTCCTGACTGCACATTTCTTAGAACTTTCTTTGAGTGCAGAAATAAAATAGTTTTGGATCTTAAAATGTACCAGGTGATTAGGAGTTGCTGTGAGAGGGTGAATGGACATGGTCCCCTCCATGAGGTCATACATTTTAAATGCTTTAAGTTGACAATAAATAGAAAATCATTTTGTTGCTAAAATGTTTCTGAAAGCCCAACAGTTAAACCCTTATCTTTGATGAATATCTGACATACAGAGGCTAGAAAAGGAAAGAAAGCCATTCTATGGCCGTGAGTCTGCTCATATATCTATTTGTGTCTACATTAGTTTTGACTTGAGGCTTAGTGATAGAGCCTGAATAGTGTCTGATGGTGGGAGTTGGGAGGGATCCAGTCCTGGACCTTAGGCCTAACTGGTCATAGTCAGCTTCCCAGGGTTCCAGCTCTTTTCTAGAGAACTTTGACATTAGCCACCAGAGTTTTGGGCTTTCACTATTTTTTTAATCTCCCTGAACAATGAACCTGAACTTGAAGTACCAAACTCTTTGAACTCTTTGGGTAGAGAGATGGCTTGGCTCTGTGTTTAGAAATTAATCCAAGCCCAAATTCCCTGTCATCTTTCCTCTGCTGCTACGAATACTAGGTATGTGCCCAGTTCTACCAGCAACATCCCACTTGCCTTCGGCTCTGCATAGTACAAACCTCAAGAATGTGTTTTCTAATGTTTATGAGGGAAAAGAATGCACAGTTTGAAATAATACAATAGTATATATCTGACAGTATTTAAAAACAATCTACCTAGTTCCAGACTAAAGGGTACAATCTTTTCTAACCTAATTTTTAACAAAAATTTATCACACCCTGGATACTTCTTTCCAAGCCAGAAGCCCCTGTCTATGATATCTCATTCACTTAGCGATCCTAGACAAGAATGTTATCTTCAATCCTAGAATACACTCATGTTCAATTTAGGGATTCATTTGCCAGGACTCCCTAGATGTATTACTTGTCCATTTGCAGCCCTAAACTCAATTATAGTTAATCAGGAAGCCTTTGGAATGGCATGTTGGGTTTGTGACATACCCATCCATATTACTGTATAACCACATAGAGTGAGGGATTAAGTAGAAAGAATTATTACATATTTCCTGCAATTTCAGAATTTTGTCATGATGATTGAACCCAAAATATAAGTCACCTCCAATGTCAACTAAATGGAATCCTTGTTTATAAGAGCTCTTTAGTGTTGAATATCCCAACCATTACCTTCTCTTAAATTCCTGAAAACAGTTAAATGCTCTAGGGTGGTATCACCACAGGCATTACGAAGAAGTTTTATTAATGCATTTTTAAAAAAACTAACATTACTGTCACTTTCTAACCACCCCCCGCCTCAGTCCAGATTACTACCTTGTCACAAAATAAAATTGAGCAAAAAAAAAAAAAAAAAGGGAAAAAATCAGCACATTGGCCATATCTGAAAACCTCCATCTCATCCCACATCCTTAGCTCACTACCTCAGTCTTTCCTGGTAGGTGGCTTGCTTCACCATCAAAGGGCATTTTCCCATGAGCTGCACAGGCCCTTTGTAAAGCTGAGGAAGAAAGGGAAACAACAGGAAAAATGAAATAAATGACCTATAGAAAGGCAGTAAAAACAACTTGTAAGGTGAGAACCCAGGTGAGTTTCTTTTTTGTTGTTGGGTTTTTTTTTTTTAATTCAACAAACGTTATTAGTCCCTCTTACTTAGAGAGCATTGTGCCAAGCACTAGGAGAGATGTAGCTAATTTGGAAATGGTTTCTGCTCTACTGGGGCTCCTGGTCAAAGACAGGAATAAGATAGCCACACCTGACTGTTAACACGTCCCCTTGCTTTTCCTTATCCGGAAATGACCCATTGTATGCTTCTGTAGAGAGATAAAAGGCTACTGGAAGTCTTTGGGGGATGGTCATGTCAGATCAAATAAGAGGCTGCTTTCTGGAGAATGTGATTTTCAAATTTGACTTGAAGGAATAAATTGTAAAAGGAAGAGAAGACATTTTCAGGGATAGGAAACCCTTAATAAGTAGAGCAAGGGGTGGGTGTGACCAAAGCAGAGACCATGGGGGAAGGAGACATGACTTCAAAGGTAGAGTGGCACCAGACCAGACCAGAGGGCCTCAAGAGCTAGGGAAGAGAGTTTGAACTTTATTTAGTAGGTGACACTCCTTAAGTTTGCCAGGAATTGAGAGTGGATGTCATTTAACTCTTGGCAGAACCCCCTGCCCAATCAGTCACAGCCCTGACAGTTACTCTCATCTAGGCAATAAATGGGGAAGTGAGGAGGGAACTCAGTTGAAGGCACATGGAGAAAGAAAAGTTCCTCTCTCTTCTCTGAGACACCATTCATCACAAATCCTCACTAGCTGAACCTAAGGCAGAAGAATGAAAGCCAGGAATCCATTCTTCTCATCAGTTCTTTGCTTCTGTCATGCCCAACCCTTTCAGAGGCCTTCTGAAATGTATCCTCTTGACTCTGCTTCAGTCAGCTAAGTCTTCTGCCAGGTACCTGCCCAGCCCATCACTTTATGCCAGCTTCCTACTCAGAGACTCAGGTGCCCAGTTTTCACCATTCACAACCTAGCTAAACTTACAAGAAGTGATAAAATAAAGAAGGCAGGTAAAAGAACAATATACCCAACAGTTACTAGAATGTAAATAAAGATAACACTAAAAGGCAACAAAACTCAGGTTGAATACATGAACAAAGTTGGTATCAAGCTATTAAAGCACACTTCCTTTCTGTAAATAATGGATAAACTGAAAAAAACATGTACTATCAGTCATAATCAGTATTAAGTGGTATTGTGCAATCAGTGTTGGGGGGGCATTCAGCTGTTTTTTTGGGGGGAGGGAGTATTTGTGGTGTCAAAAACTATCAATACTAATAAAGAATAAATATGTAGATTGCTTTAAAAGAAAAAAAAAGGACCAGCCCTGGGACTGATTGTGTACTGTTCCCCAACTTTCTGCAAGACTTTTGCCCTTTCAAGCATCTTGCTCTTGAAATTGGTGAGGGATGCCCAATTTTATGTATAGACTGGTGACTCCAGTATTTTACTTTGCAATATAGGTATAGCCCATGGGATGGGAGCACAATGAACACATCCAAGGAATGTGGTAGGATATTACATTCCTGGGCTTGAAATATATAGGGCCTGACTATCATAGGATAGACACTCAGTAAATACTTAATTGAGATGTTACACTTCTAATGCCAACCACAGCCTTAGCTGAAGACCTACATCTGTCTGCTAGATGAGCAAGGCATAGAGAGACAACAGAAATCAGACTGCTTAGTGATTAAAGCAACTTTTATTGAACAGCCACAAGATGTGTAGCAAATACAGGACAATTCTAGACTAACTAGGAATACCTATCATGTCAGATGATGAGGTCACTAGTGTTGCAGACTGTTTGCACAGGACCTACATAGAAGGTGCCCATAGCATTCTTCCTAGTATCTAACACATCCCTTGTCAGTTACAGCACTTCTAGGGGGCTCTGCCAAAGCAGGCAATGGGAGAAATGGGAGAAGGATCACAGCCTCACCTTCCATTGTGTTCGGTTGAGTGTGAGACTGACTGAAATTCCGTACAATCTCTAGAGGGCCAGGGTTGCTTCATTTGTTTTACTGAAGGTAGCTAGGTGGCCCAGTGGTTAGAGTGCTTGGGCATGCAGTCAGGAAGACCTGAGTTCAAAGCCAGCCTCCAATAGGCGTTTATATTAGCACTCATCTCTCAGGGGCATTATGAGATCCATTGAAACAATTGTAAAGTGCTTAGCAGAATGCCTGACACATAGTAAGTGCTATGTAAATGTTAACTACTTTTATTATTATTAAAAAAAACTACATAAATACAAGCTATTATTTTGATTTGCATTTCAGTTATTAGTAATTTGGAAAAAATCTTTCATATGGTTGTTAGTTTGCAATTCTTTTGTAAACTGCTTGTTTATATCCTTTTGATCACGTATCAGTTCACAAGTGGTTGCTTTTATAGTGCAAATTTTCTATGTATTTTGTATATCTCACCCTTATTAGAAATATTTTATGCCAAGATTTTTTCCCAGTCAACCTTTTCCTCTCTTATCCTAGCTGCATTTATTTGCTTTGTGCAAAATTTCTTATAGTATAATAGCATTACATTCATATGCCACAATTTGTTCAGCCATTCCCTAGGGGTTAGGCAACCACCTTATTTCCAATGTTCTACTACCACAACAAGTATTGATATAAGTATTTTGGTATATATGGGATCTTTCTGTCTTTTTCCTCTCTGGGGAATATGTTCAACAGTAAGATTGCTAGGTCAAGGGTCATGAAGTTATTGAATTTTCTTATAATTTCAAATTGTTTTCTAGAACAGGCCAATTTACAGTTCCATTAACAGTGAACAAGTGCTGTTTTCTCCCCACAGTCCTTTGAACATAGTTTCCTTCTTTTTTTCAAGTTTACCTATTGAATCCCTTTTTTTTCCAAATGACTCCTTCCAAATATCCAAATATCTGCAGACAACTATCATGTCTCTCCCCAAGGTAAACAACCCGATTTCTGTCATTGATCTCAAGCATAATTTCAAGGCCCTTCAACATTCTGGTTACCTTTTCCAGCTTAGAAATGTCCTTCTTAATATAAAAATGTCCTGTTCAGATTTTGAGTTGCTAAATTTGAAGATGCAGGATGAAAAGCTTTTTCAGACTCCTATGATCCATTTATTCTGTTTCTGTAGACAACTCATTTCTTGTTGCTCTATCCCCTCAAATCCCTAAAATTCTGGGAAGATCTCTCCTTGTTTCCAAAATTACAAGAATGGTCATCTCAAACCAAGTAGGCTTTTGTAGCACCTTAGTTCTTGTAGATGACAGATTTCTACATTCTGAGCACAGATATAATAGCAAGTCTCAGAGGAGTTTTACAGATACTTATTCTCATTTTGGTTTGAAGAGGTGAGCAAGAATCCTCTCCATTCCCTTTGTCTCCTCATCCATCAGTCAATAAACATTTATTTTAAGGCACTGTGCTAATTGCTGAGGATACAAAAAGAGGCAAAAGATAGTCTCTGCCTTCAAGGAGTTTATGACCTAAGGGGTCATAAGGGGAACTAAGGGGACATGGTCAGACTTGTGCTTTAGGAAAATCACTTCAGTGACAGAACGG